CCCACAACATAGTGAGCCGGCCTCCATGCGATGCAGTGCGTTCCGGCCCGACTCGCCCGTCCGAGGCCCAAATTTTTAGTTCACCTTTTGACGATGTGACATTTTTTTTCCACCCCTCTTGCAGCTCTTCCACCTGATCTACTCCCAGCAAGACATTGTGCGTCAGCTGGCCAAGCAGACCGGCTGGCAGGATATACTGACCAAACTCTACATCAAGGAGTCGTATGAGACCAAGCCGCGTTTCCTGAGCAGCCCGATGTACGGCGGCAATGCGTGCCCATTGAAACGCATGGGCAGCAGCAAGGACTCGGAGCCGGGAGCTTGCAAGGACACCGGTCACGGGGGGGCGGCCGACAACACCGACGCGGACGCCGTATTTCCGATGGGCTTCGAGGCTTCGGAGTTGGACTTCTCTGAAGGCTTCTCTGACCACTCCCTGTCTCCGGCGGCCAGAGGGAAACCCTTCCACTCTTACAATTTCAAGTCGTTTGACTCCTCGGACCAGGCCAGTCACTCCTCCTCCTCCAACCTCGTCGACGTCCCCGGCTCGGAGGAGGCCAGCTGCGTCGACGGGCCCCCCTTTGACAATGTCTACCAGCCGTTGTCACCGTTCTCCATGTCTCCCTTCGACATGCGGCTGGACCTGGGCAGCTCCAGCTCCGCGGCCACCATGGAGAGCGGGAACCAGACGCCCGTCAGTCAGCCGGGGACGCCGTCCCCGCTGGAGAACTTCAAGCCTTTCCCCGGGATGAGAGTCCGGAAGAGTTCCAGCTTGTCCAATGTGCTGGATGAGAACAGCTACCAAGAGACGCTACCCAGCGACACCATCTCCAATACCAGCAACCCTCAGGTAGCCGCTCCGTCACAATTCCTATCACTGTTCCTTATCTTTTAATGTGAGTAAGAATTAGAACCTCTGTCAGGGTCACTCTGATTTCCCCTCACTTCCTGTCCGCGGTGACACAGGACAGGAAATTAGTTTCTGGGTGTGTCAATGGGACAGGAAGACTCAGAGATGTTCTCACCTTTCTCCACTCTGCTAAATATTTATGCTTGTGAAGCTGTCCCCATCGTAAAGATATACCATCACTTATGTGTCACCCTGTCATTGGGACAGGAAGTGAAGATAAATCTTCCCAGGGGGACACGGCAATAAAAACATCGAGACATTTCCTACTTTCCCAGCTCTATGCAAAGCTCAAAAACAATGTTTTGGCTGAAGTTTGCCTATGAAGGCCCAATCCATCCAAAGCTGATATAAGTTTTAAATTTGAACTCCGACCTCCCCTTCAGTCTTCTATCTGACCTCCGTCCTCCCCTCCAGTCTTCTATCTGACCTCCGTCCTTCCCTTCAGTCTCCTATCTGACCTCTGTCCTTCCCTTCAGTCTTCTGTCTGACCTCCGTCCCTTCTGTCTGACCTCCGTCCTCCCCTCCAGTCTTCTGTCTGACCTCCGTCCTCCCCTCCAGTCTTCTGTCTGACCTCCGTCCTCCCCTCCAGTCTTCTGTCTGACCTCCGTCCTCCCCTCCAGTCTTCTGTCTGACCTCCGTCCTCCCCTCCAGTCTTCTGTCTGACCTCCGTCCTCCCCTCCAGTCTTCTGTCTGACCTCCGTCCTCCCCTCCAGTCTTCTGTCTGACCTCCGTCCTCCCCTCCAGTCTTGCACTGTTGTCCCGGCTCATCTCCTCTTCCTCTGATGTCACTGCACACTGGGAGCTCCTCACAATGTGCATCAGAAGCCGCAGCAAGTCAGGTAGAGCCCGTCTCATTACTCTCTGGAAGGTTCTGCAGTACTGTAGGGTTCTGGTTGGGAAGGTCCAGGTCTGTGACTCTCCTGCAGTCCCTGTCCCATGGCTGAGGGATTTGGTTATAATTCAGATTGCTTTTGTCTCATGAATGTCCCTCCAGCAGACCCCTGAAGAAGAGCTCTGCAACCTCCTCACCAACATCATCTTCTCGGTCACCTGGAGGGGGGTGGAAGGCTTTGAGGACGCGGCGTGGAAGGAGCGCGGTCAGGTCTTCTCGGTCCTCACTAAGCTCGGATCGGCCTGCGAGTTGGTGAGACCTCCGGATGAAATCAAGCGAAGGTCAGCACCGTGAAGGATTTTTTTTTCTGATAGCTTTAGGGTTCTACTTATAAACAATTCACAGAGCCTCTCGCCCCGCAAATCTCTGAACATTTGATCCGTGCAAATAGAGGAAAAAACAAATGTACTTAATATATTTTATTTCAGGTCAAATGTATTATAGTACCACATTATGGCCTCTAGATGGAGCTGAGGAGCACAGGAAATAAGTATGTATTATACCACATTATGGCCACTAGATGGCGCCGAGGAGCACAGGAAATAAGTATGTATTATACCACATTATGGCCACTAGATGGCGCTGAGGAGCAAAGGATATAAGTATGTATAATACCACATTATGGCCACTAGATGGAGCTGAGGAGTACAGGAAATAAGTATGTATTATACCACATTATGGCCACTAGATGGAGCTGAGGAGCACAGGAAATAAGTATGTATTATACCACATTATGGCCACTAGATGGAGCTGAGGAGCACAGGAAATAAGTATGTATTATACCACATTATGGCCACTAGATGGAGCTGAGGAGCACAGGAAATAAGTATGTATTATACCACATTATGGCCACTAGATAGGTCTGAGGAGCACAGGAAATAAGTATGTATTATACCACATTATGGCCACTAGATGGAGCTGAGGAGCACAGGAAATAAGTATGTAGTATACCACATTATGGCCACTAGATGGAGCTGAGGAGCACAGGAAATAAGTATGTATTATACCACATTATGGCCACTAGATAGGTCTGAGGTGCACAGGAAATAAGTATGTTTTATACCTCATTATGGCCACTAGATGGAGCTGAGGAGCACAGGAAATAAGTATGTAGTATACCACATTATGGCCACTAGATAGGGCTGAGGAGCACAGGAAATAAGTATGTAGTATACCACATTATGGCCACTAGATAGGGCTGAGGAGCACAGGAAATAAGTATGTAGTATACCACATTATGGCCACTAGATAGGGCTGAGGAGCACAGGAAATAAGTATGTAGTATACCACATTATGGCCACTAGATAGGGCTGAGGAGCACAGGAAATAAGTATGTAGTATACCACATTATGGCCACTAGATGGAGCTGAGGAGTACAGGAAATAAGTATGTATTATACCACTAGATGACACTGAGGAGCATAGAATATAAGCATTTAATTCCTATGCTGCTCAACTCCATCTAGTGGCCATAATGTGGTATAATACATACTTATTTCCTGTGCTCCTCGGCTCCATCTAGTGGCCATAATGTGGTATAATACATACTTATTTCCTGTGCTCCTCAGCTCCATCTAGTGGCCATAATGCAGTATTACGTTACATTTCATTCGACCTAAAAAGAAAATATACTAAAAACTTTAATTTTTCCCTCTATTTGCACAGAACGAACATTCACAGAGATCTTCAGGGGGAAAAGCTCTGAAAATTGTTTATAAAGAGATCCCACAGTGTATTTGTTATCTGAAATGGAGTAGGGAAGAGTTATAACCCCCTTTTTTGTTTTTGTAGCCCTGTCTGTGTCCCAGCTGGGGAGATTTACCCTAATGTGTCCAGGTGACCATTGTCTCTAGGACTGAAAGTGATGGCGAAAATCCAAAATTATCCAGTGGTCACCAGAACAGGAACTGATGGGCGACACATCTGGTGACAACTGAGATGGCATATTCCCTCACTTGTGAAAGATTTCATCCCACTTCCTGTTGTCTCTGTAGGAAAGGAAGTGATGTTTAATCCCCTCAATGGGACACAGGCAGCATACAATAGGCTTCCACGGGGGTTTTTTCTACTCTATCCAACACGAGAAATGTTTTGTCTTTAGATCGGCTTTAGGCATTTACATTGTCAGTGCGTGTATCTATCTTTCAGCCTGCTGGAGATGATGTTGGAGTCGGCTTTTACGGACATTAAGGAGGCCTCCTCCTCCACCCTGCCGGGCCTCATCCAGAATGTGCTGAAGCTGCTGAGACTTCTCCAAGATTTCCTCTTTTCGGAAGGAAACAGCAACCAGGTCCTCTGGAGTGAGAAGGTGCAGCCATCTTTACAATGCTAATTTGATATTTAAGGCCCTTTTATGCCCAACTTGGACCGCATGCTTCCCATGTGGCCCTTTGGGTGCTTCCCATGTGGCCCTTTGGGTGCTTCCCATGTGGCCCTTTGGGTGCTTCCCATGTGGCCCTTTGGGTGCTTCCCATGTGGCCCTTTTTGGTGCTTCCCATGTGGCCCTTTTTGGTGCTTCCCATGTGGCCCTTTTTGGTGCTTCCCATGTGGCCTTTTTGGGTGCTTCCCATGTGGCCTTTTTGGTGCTTCCCATGTGGCCCTTTTGGTGCTTCCCATGTGGCCCTTTTGGTGCTTCCCATGTGGCCCTTTTGGTGCTTCCCATGTGGCCCTTTTGGTGCTTCCCATGTGGCCCTTTTGGTGCTTCCCATGTGGCCCTTTTGGTGCTTCCCATGTGGCCCTTTTGGTGCTTCCCATGTGGCCCTTTTGGTGCTTCCCATGTGGCCCTTTTGGTGCTTCCCATGTGGCCCTTTTGGTGCTTCCCATGTGGCCCTTTTGGTGCTTCCCATGTGGCCCTTTTGGTGCTTCCCATGTGGCCCTTTTGGGTGCTTCCCATGTGGCCCTTTTGATGCTTCCCATGTGGCCCTTTGGGTGCTTCCCATGTGGCCCATGGAGACCAATAGTCATCAGTGAGGGTTGTTACAGTATTGTCAAATACTGGACCCTTTAGAAGTGACTTTGTATACAAATATAGAAGCAGAATGAAATAGATTATCGCCAATATTTCAATTAAAATGAGAAAACGCTACATTATCAGTGTAATTCCAGGATTGGGCCAGAGCCCCAGGTCATGTGATCAATACCGAGGCTTTGGTCATGTGGTCTGTGCTGTCCATTCTGGATCACTTAGCTTTTAACGTCGGATAATAACGCGCACAGCTATTATTGACTTCCGGCCTCCTTTTAGTTCTATGAATTCTCTTCCTTCACACTATTTTATAAACAGGCAGCTGTCTGTAGGAAATGTGAAGCATAAAACATATATCATTTACAACATGTTTCACCTCTTTCCCCCCTCCCCCCCTCTTTTCACGATTGCAGATCTTTGAAGGAGTCAGCAACTTGCTGGACAAGTTGGGAGTTTGGTACTACTTGGTAAATGGGGCGTCGGACCTGAAAGAGATGGCTCAGATTGGGCTCCGGATCATCGTAGGATTCATCAAGTTAGATGATCAGCAGGTGAGCGGTCTGCCTGTCTACAGTCTTCAAGTTTAACTGCTTTCGGAGTTAAGGTGCCCATACACTGCACGATTATCGTACGATAATCGTATGCGATCGGGTTTCCGTAACACACCATATGCAGTGCGTTTCCGGTCTGATTCTGCGCCTCGTTGCGGCCAGCTCATTTTTTTGCCGGGCTGGAGGGGGGGCGTGGAGGGCCATTGAAGTGAATGGCACCGTAGCCACGCCCCTCCAGCCGCAATGCGATCGCCCCGCACGGGATCGCAAGGTACATTGTGCCTGCGGTGCGATCAAAATGCTGCAAGCATTGCGGCCGGAGGGGTGTGGCTACGGCGCCATTCACTTCAATGGCCCGCCACGCCCACTCTCCAGCCCGGCGAAAAAGTGAGCCGGCCGCAATGTGATGCGGTGCTTTCTGGCCAGAGTCTGACCGGAACGCACTCGGGGTTAGTTCACACCATATGCAGAGTGTGTCATAGTGCATCACAAGCTCGATGAATCCACCAATTGGATTATGGGGAAAAAACACCGGGATCAGTCACGATGGTTCATATACAGGTTCAAATTATTGGCCAGTCCACCAAAACCTAACATTTCAGTGCTGTAGACTTGACGCCACCTGACTTGGGGTGACAGGGTGGGGAGACGATAGGTGGTCGGGAACACACAAAGGTAAGTCCCCGCGCTAGGTGGACAGGAACAGGGCTGGGAGTTATGACATGGAGATCTGCACCATATGAGATTAAACTTTAGCTTTCAGCAATTGTAATCCAGATCTCAGTGGGCAGTTTAGGAAAGGTGATCGGAGGTTATTATGGTCTACAAGAGGTCATTGTTCTCTGTTTTAAGGAAATAAACCAATAAAGTTAGATTACACGTGCGATGACTTTTCTTCATACTTTGAAGGTTAACATTTTTGTTTCCACTTCTGCCGCCCTGTTGAGTAAATTCTGGTTGTCCCACTTAGATGCATTCATCGGCCTATGTGAAGCTGCACAGCCTCCTGCAAAGTGCCTCCTCGCTGAAGAAGGAAGAGGCCTGTTTCCTGCTGGGGAGCCTCCAAACTCCGCTTCTGAACTCCCTCAATGCCAAGACCGAGACCTTCTCCTGCCTGGTGCCCATTATCCGCACGCTGATGGACCAGTGCTTCGAGCTGCTACAGCTGCAGGAACATCTGCCATCTCTGCCGCCTACTAATGGAAGCCCGACCTTCTATGAGGACTTTCATGGTTTTTGCACCACCACCGAGTGGAGGCTCTTCATTGAGAATCATGTAAGAGAAGGTTTTCATTGTATGATATGGAGATGTGCCCCAAGGAGAGGTGTGTCTGGGCTGTTTTCTGTTATTTCTTTATTTTCATTTTTTTTATTTTCTTGCAGTTTCAATTTGTTTTCATTTTACTCCCTCCTCCTCCTCCTCCTCATCCTC